TTACTTTTGATTTAGAAGTTGAGGCTTGGTTTGATGGGTTAGTTTTAGAGGTATTAAAATGGTTTTTAGCCATACTCATCAAGTTTGTGGATTGACCATAACCAATACCTTCTTTCGTTAGTTTTGGTTGGTTATCCCATTCTTTTGTTGAGTTATAGCTATTGTAAAACATTTCCAAAGCCCCTCGTTTGGCCTTGTCTTTTTCTTTAATCAAAATTTCAATTTTCTTTTGAAGTTCTTCATTTTGGTTTTGAAACTTTTCAAGAATAAGTTTTAAATTTTTGTTTTCATCACGAGAAGTTTCAAGAGCCACCTTGAGTTCCTTTTTCTCCCTAATGGTTCGAAAAAGGTTCTCTTGGCATTCATCAAACGCTTGCCTTAACTCATCAAAAGTAATTTGACTTTCAAAAGAGGTAAATGAATTTTGAGAACTAACCTCTTCTTCATCATTGGAGGCCATAAAGCAAGCATTTGCGTTCTCTTCTTGGCTTTGGTCACTATCACCTTCGTCGGAGTTTAAATCGTCCCAAGTGACTTTTAATGCCTTCTTCTTCCCCTTTTTAAGCTCTTCCTTCTTTTTGAGCTTTGGACACTCCGGTTTGATATGACCTACATTTCCACATTCATAACAAGTTATTTGATTAGGTTTACCTTTCTTTGATGGAAATCTTTTTGAGGATTCGCCCTTGTTCCATTTCATAAACTTCTTGTATCTCTTAAACATGGCAAGCTCCTCATCACTTTCTCCTTCGCTTTCCGGATGGTCATCAATTTTGAGTGCCATGGTCTTCTTGATGATAGGAACCTGTTCTTCTTCCTTCATTTTCTTCAAAAGAAGCTCGTGAGAGAATATAATCTTGGGCAACAAATTTACAACAAGACTATGCCACTCTCTAGGAAGAGAGAATATATAATCTTGGTGTTAATCTCACTAGTAGGATAAACTTTATTTAGCTTACTCAAATTGTTGACAATGAGATTGAATCATTTGTTCATATCTTGAACGGATTCTCCGGCCTTCATCTTGAAGTTTTCATACTCGGATGTTCCTAAAGCTATCTTGGTAGCTTTTGTGTCTTTATCTCCTTCATGGGTGGCTTCTAGGAGCTTCCATGCTTCCTTTGCGGATTTGCAAGAGCTCACCCTAGCAAACTCATCTTGACCCAAGGCACAAAACACATTTAGTGCTTTGGCATTCAGGGAGAGTTTTTTCTTGTCTTCGATGGTGAGTTTGTCCATTGGAGTAGGAACTTGGTGTTCACCTACAGTTGTCATAAGAACAAACAAACCATGAGTAGTGACTATCCATAAATCATAGTCAATAGATTGAATGAAATTCTCCATTCGCATTTTCCAATAGCCATAGTTATCCCCATTGAAGAATGATGGCTTGGTAATGCTTTGGGAGTTCATTGAATCCATGTGTCGAAAAAGAAATAAAAGATGAGTGTGAAAGGATCAAACTTCCTGCTCCGATACCAATTGAAAGTCGGTTTACACCCTAAGAGGGGGGTGAATTAGGGTGTTTGCAAATTTTTAATAAAAACAAAAACTTATGCGCAAAGTAGTAGCGGAAAAAGAGAAAAAAAGTATAAAAGATTAAAATACGACACAAGCGATTTTATACTAGTTCGGGAACTCCCTACTCCAGTACCTCGATGCTCCTCCTCAAGGATTTAACCTCCACTAACTTGTTTGGCTTCACTAAGAACACTCAAACGAGGTTTGGCAAACAACCCTTGCCAATAAGCAAATGAGATTTTACTACGGCTATCTCAACCGTTTACAACCGAAGATTTTAAGGCTATCTTCAATCTTACAATGAGGATTTATAGGTTATCCACACCTTTTACAAATCAATAAAAAGATTGGTGTTTCTTCTCTACCAAAATGATAACAAATGTAAATTGGGTAGGAGAAGAACAAAAGATTTAAATCAACAACAACAAAAGCCTATAGGCAAGATATAAAATAATGAAACACAAATGCCCTTGTGTGTGAGTGTAATAATGAAAGCTTTTACTCAAAAGAGTAAGAAAAATAAGAACAAAGCTTTAGGACACTCAAGAACAGAGAAGTAGGCTTTAGATTTAATTGGGAAGTTGTTGTTTATAAAATGAGACCTAGAGGGGGTTTATATAGGAGTTTGGAACGTTAGGAAGTGATTAGGGGTGATTTGAATTTAAATTGGCAATTTGCTACAGTGATTACAACGGATCCGATACCCTTCACGGTAGGGTCAGTACCGTCCGGCACCTAGGTACCGTGACCCACGGTATGGCCTACCGTTTAGGGGTACCGTGTAAGCCAAAAGATTGGTTCGCCTCTGGCAGTACCTGGTTAGGACGGGGGTGGCCAACCGTCTCTTCCTACCGTCCGGTACCCGGGTACCGTGACACGGTAGGGGGTACCGTGTAACACTTGGTTGAAACGTACAACGGTACGTTTGCTTGGCTACCGGCGGTACCCTAGTGCCGTGTACACGGTAGCCAGGTACTGTTAAACCTGTGTAAATATTCCAAAAACTTGTTTTTCGTGTTCCGTTTTCAAAATAACCTCAACTAAGAATATATTTGACATTTTAAGAATAATTTTTGAGTGAAAGGGCATAAGTAAATCATTAAAGTATATCATTACCTTTACATAATAATTTCTAAACTTGTAGGAGTATTTCTCGGTGATGCTAAACAAGCTAATAGAGGTTTGGCGTTTGTTTTCTTCCTGCAAATGATGTTAGTAACATTTGGAAGACTTATTTGGCACATCAAAACGGTTACGGGGTACGACATTCAAGGCCAACAGTCTCAAAATAACATTCTACAATAAATGTTTAACCCAAATTATTAATTAACGCAATAATTAAATATCCATAATAAAAACGGTGACATCATCCACGGCGTCACGCGTCAACGTCCTCCAGGCTGGCCCTCTTGATCCAAACCCCTACCTGCGTGCAGTCAAAGACAACAAGACTACACGCTCAGCTGGAAGCTGAGTGAGAAAAATATCTAACGCTAGAATTAATTTCGCAGATGGTATCGCATTTATATAATCAGCAACATCAGTGAACAATTAACATTTATTTTCAGATACAAGGATCCAACAGTTCCAATTCATTTATTCCTCAAAGGCTATTTCGGTCCCTACAACACTAAGGCTAAATTCACATACTAGAGTTACGGATACTCGAGTGGATCCCTCGAGGCCGATGCTCGGACAAACCCAAAGAGAATCCTCAATGGGCGGGTTGGAGTCTCTACCAAGAAATCCCTTAGGTAGAACAGTGACTCCCGTACGTACGTTTTGAACCCTGGACCACTGGATATGCAAACATGTTCACACAAATTCACAATCAATCGCAAGAATTATACAAACAAGATCCTAATTACGAATTAACTCTAACGGAAGATATTTGGACAATGAATCACCTTGAAATTGAAGAATTGAAACCAAATTGGGGGAAGGGGAAACTTGCCGCTACAACCCCCTAGCGCGGCCTGCTGCGCGACGGGAAGAGGGGCGGTCGGTGAAGCTCCTGGCGGCTGCTGCAGTTGCGGTCTCTCCTGGCAGACGGACGGCGAAGTCACCAACCGGCGAAGGGAAGCCCGGCTGAGGACGACAACAGGAACGAGCGAGAGAGAGATGGCGGACGACACTACTCCTTGGGACGGAGGCTCGCCGGCGCTGTGGGTCTGCTGGATGGAGATGCCCGACAAAGTAGAGAAGATCGGCGGGCATCCAGGGTAGAGAAACGAACGAATAACAATAGGCAGAAGTCGTAAATCTCGTGTAACCCTTTCGCTATTTAATTATAAAATTAAATAGTTTTTAGGGTCCAGATTACATCTGTTTGCGGGGTCGGGTTCAGAACAGCGAGCCCTACAACATAGGTCAACTCTCGTATTAAATACACAAATGAGAAAATACCCCTCATTTGACCGACTTAATAATTAATTAATTATATAAATTAATTAAAAATACTAAGCTGGGTTTCGGGGCGTTACAAATCATAATCAATTAGTATCAAAAATAGGATTTTAGAATTCAAAAATAGCATTTTCGGACTAATTTTCAGATCAGAATTTCGGGGGATCGATCCAGGGAGTGTGATCGATCAAGGCAGTGTGATTGATCAGGGCAGTGTGATCGATTAGGGCAGTGTGATCGATCAAGGCAGTGTGATCGATCCAGGCAGTGTAGTTTCAGGTTACTGTTCATCGTCTTCTACCTTCGGTCCAATTTCAGAAATATCATTTTTAGTTACCAAACTTCAATTAAACTATATAGAAATGTTCTCCAAGGTTCATAAATCATTTTGGTATCAGTAATTCATGATTTTAACATCAAATTCAAGGTTTATGATTCTTGGTTCTTCAAGCATGTCAAACACAAAACTCAACCAAATGACCGTTTATGAACGTAAAAACGATCTATACAAACATTCTAGTCATTAGATATATCTATGGGCTTACCTCGGAGCTTATCGAAGGTTTTGAGAATTTTCCGGCGAAACTTCCGACGATGATTACTCCCAACTCCGGCGACTTCGGCGGCAACCAACAACACCAGACTACTCTCCTCACTCTCAAGATTCTTATGGACTAATTTGAGAAGGAATGATGCATGTTTGAAGGTTTTGAGTACTTGCTATACAGGAGTTAATGAAGGGGAAGAGGACAATGGTGAGCTGCGTAATTGATTCACAATCGGCACAAGTGCGCTGGTAGGCACCATCTGCACAGTCTCCCTGATTGGGACCAATTTTGCTTTCAGTTGGGTATACTTTTTGGTCCAACTTTCCCTGAATTAAATTCCGTTTGCATCGTTGCGATCAGACAGTCGAACTCTATCCTATGATATAATTTTTGTATTTATTTGTAATACTTTTTCTAACATCATATTTTTGGGTATTTGACTTTGACATAGTCAAAATTGGTTTAATTGACATTTATCATGAAAGGTTCTCACCTTTAATTTCAAGAATTCATTTCAAAGTTCATATCACAACAATTTCTTCATTTATCCTTGATTTGGGTCTATACTCTGGTTCCCAATCAAGGTCAAACAATAAGTCAATCAGGTTGGATTTATCTTTATGAGCTTTATCCCAATTATGTTTATTGGATATCAATACATATTTTATTTCAGCCTATAGGCCAACAGCAATTTATTTTAATCAAAACAATTCGATTAAATTATTAATTTCTTCATTAATAAATTCTAAGATATGTTTTGGGGCGTTACATGCACGATGTAACATAATTACATATGCACCCGAAAAACACATTTAGGAAACGTCAAACCAAAAAATTACGGAACAAAGAGAAAGAAATACATTCACTACCAAATTGAGAGGCATTTCAAGAACAGCTCCAAACTGGGAGCTATTTAAAATTTACTCCTAATGAGTAAATTTTAAATGGGTATCTAGGTCGATCAATATATGTTATTTCTATATCATAACATCTTAGAATATGTAGAATCAAACACAAAGTAATTAAACAATCTATTTTTGAAACTCAATCTATATCACAATGTCACATTTCAACTTAAACATATACACAAAACCTATATAGTAAATTAAATACTCCCTTCGTCCTAGAGTATTTGTCCATTTTCATTTTTACACACCATCGAATGCACTTCTTTAATCAATTTTATCTTGTAATTTGTATATTAAAAAATTATAAAAATTATATATTAATAATCTATATGTTAAGACATATCAAACAAGATCACACATGACTATATTTACGCTTACACATTGAGAGAATTTGATGAGTCAAAATGCTTAGATGAACAGTTCCAAAAGTCAAAAGTGGACAAAAACTGGGGGATGGAGGGAGTATTAACCTAATGCAAAAATATATAAACAAATAATAGTATAATTAAATATTTAAAGTTAAAAAATTAAAAAAAAATACCTTAAATAAGGGACAACGGCGAGGCTGGGAGTTGACGATGACGAGGCGGGGCAGCAGGCACGACACGACGACGGCAGAGCAGCAAGCACGGCACGGCGATGGCGGGGCAGCAAGCACGACACGACGGCAGCGAGGCTAGGCATCAACGGCGAACGGCGAGGGTGAGGTGGATGAGGGCGAAGTGGAGCAGATTTCGAGGCGGCACGGGCACTGCGATGGCGTGACTGTGGAGTTAACGACGGCGAGGCAACGACAACGACAACGGCGAGGCGCACGACGAGGAATGGAAACGGCTTGGGCAACGTCGAGGAGCGAGCACGACGAAGACGAAGAAAGGGTTTGGAAGTTTTTTTTTTCAAAATCGCGTAAGGATAAGGTAGGATTGGATGTGTTTTACCAGACTCTTTTGGATCGGTTATTCCTAATAACCGATTGAAAAGGTTATTTGAATCGGTTATTAGGAATAACCGATCCAAAAGAGTCTTACCTCTTGGATCAATTATTCCTAATAACCGATTCAAATACCTTTTGAATCGGTTATTAGGAATAACCGATCCAAAAAGCTAATAAGCATTTGGATCGGTTATTCCTAATAACCGATTCAAATAACCTTTTGAATCGGTTATTAGGAATAACTGATCCAAAAGCTAAGCGGTACGCGAATTTTTTTTGCCATTTACATCGTTTGTTTTGCTTAACGATGCAAATGGGGGGATTTATTTGGTCGTTTTTGTAGTAGTAGAGAGACATGGGATAGAGAGTCGAATATACAATCTAGCCCTTATACGTTACATTGGATGCGGATCAAGATGAGCATACCAAATTCATTCTCATTTCTCTCATAGGATCTCATTTTCACCAGAACTAATATATATATATATATATATATATGGGATTGACTCTAGTGAGATGACACCTTATGGTTGTTAGACGTCTCGCACACCTCTAGAGGGGGGTGAATAGAGGTGTTTCCCAAAAGACCAGTTTTTTTGCGCGGAAACGTTCTTCACGAATATTCAATAAAATCAATGCACCACAAACAAAGTAAAGTGAAGGATAAGAGCAATGCACACACGATATATACTGGTTCGGCCTACATCCAGTCCCCGAAGCAATCGTGCCCAGGCCTTCACTAATCCGTCAAACTTAACGGAGTTTGACAATCCGAATACAACTCGAGAACTTGATTTCACAAGCCTCTTATCTTACCACCAAAGTTTTGATTTCACAAAACTCAGGATTTCTTCCACCTAACGTTTGATTTCACAAATCGTTAGGATTTCTACCACTTGGTGTAATTCCAACACCAAGAATACAAATCCCTTACAATAAAGTAAGAAAACAAACCGCAACTGAGTAATTCTCCCAACACGGAGTAGATTGTTGCAAATACAATGAAGTCCTTTAGAATATGGCAATATCTCTCAAAGGAGACTCAAGCAACGAGGAAAAACTCAAGCAAGAAATGATTTAGCAATCAAAACAATTGCCTTGCTTGGATATAAGGAGGGGATTGAGTAGAATCTCTTTGGATATTCAAAGGATATGTTCTTCAAAGTGTTCTAAAGGTTCTCTTCAAGATAATCACGAAGAGGGTTGTTTATAGAAGTTAGGGAGTGGATAGAGATGAAAAGAATTCAAAAAACTAGCCGTTTGGTAGTTGAAATTGTCGACTTATTCGAATAACTCAAGAACTATTCAAATAGTTTAGATCAATCGCGTGGCTTGAAAAACCAGTTCCTATTCGAATAAATGGTGATTTATTCGAATAAATCAGGGTGAAAAGCCAGGACTTATTCGAATAAATGGTGATTTATTCGAATAAAACAGGTTAATTTCAGGAAAGATCACGACTTATTCGAATAAACTAAATATTACTCAAATAGAAAGGCAACTTCCCCACACAAAGGCTGATCTAAAATGAGTTTTAAAGGTAAGATGATAAGGGAATGAACCTTAGAGATGCCATACTCTTTAACACATAATCTAGGACCTAAAACACTATCCAACTAAGGAAATAACCTCTTCGGTCTCGTTCCTTCCACCGATGCTCAAGTCCCTTCTTCACGGACGGATATGAACTTGTTGTAGCTTTGATTCTTAGCCTTGATGCACAAAATGATGATGATGTTTTGTCACCCTTTTGTCATTATCAAAACCTAAAAGACAATGGGCAAATGACATTGCAAAAATATATATTCATGATAGCACATAGTCCAACAACGGTGAGATGACATGCTTCGGTCAGATGGCACAAAGTTCACAACTGGCTACTGCAAAGCTCAACAAAGAAAACTACAAAGCTCACCAAACTGTAAGGCAAAGCTCACCATATTTTTTCAACACTTTGATTTTTTTTGAAAAAATAAAATCAAAGAAAGGTGTGCTGACTGGACTTTGACTGTTGACCGTCAGCATTGACCGCCGCCTGCCGCCGCCGCCGTCGCCAAACTCCGGCAGCCACCGTCTGCCGCTGCCGCCTCCGGACTCCAGCAGCCCCCGCCGGCTGTCGCCGGTCGCTGCCAGTCGTTGTCGGACTCTAGGCGCCGCTATTGCTCCGCCGCCGTTGACCGGTGTTGTTATTTTATTTTTAATTAATTTTTTAATTTTTTAAATTTAAAAAAAAAGTGAGTTTTGGGGTTCAAAGTGGTGAGCTTTGCTTTATTTCCAGGTGAGCTTTGTATTGTGCATTGGTGAGCTTTGTAGTGTAGTGTGGTGAGCTTTGCGTCATCTAACCGAAACATGTCATCTTACCATAAGGTGTCATCTCACTGGAGTCAATCCCTATATATATATATATATATATATATATATATATATATATATATATAGATTTTGGTTTCAGTGAGAATGCAATCTTATGAAAGAAATAAGAATGAATCTGGTACTTTAGATTGTGAGATCTAAGGGTCAAGATTGCATCAAAATTAGGTGCACCAAAATGATTTGAAAATGCATCATGTCGAAATGCACCGAAATCCTTTGAAAATGCACTATCTCAAAATCTGAGTGCAGGATGCAATCTCAGCCGCACGATGCATCAGATCCAAAGGCTAGATGTTATTCTTATTTCTTTCACCATGGTGCATTCTCACCTGAACCAGCCCACATATATATATATATATATATATATATATATATATATATATATATATATATATATATATATATATATATATATATATATATATATATATATATATATATATATAAAGAGGTCGAAGTCATTAGGCAGAAGAGAATTACATACCAATCTTACGCCTCCTCTCTCTTTCGTGAGTATCAAACATTCAAACATCACCTCTACGATCTTAGTAATACACCCTAAACGAGAATTCAATCATCATCATAATCATGGTTTCATCTCTAACAACGTTCACATGCTTATCAAGTTCGTATGATTTAATTCATGATTTATGTTTTATGTTGAAGAATTGATCAACACCACAAAAATATAAAATGTTATAAAAATTATAGTTTATCAGTGCACGGCATGCCACCTAGACTTTGAGCTGATTTTTACTCTGTAGTTTAGAAGTGTCATGTCAGCGTGTGAGATTCCATTTATTATTTGCCATTGCCGTGTACGTAGACCATACATCCAAATGTACAATGTTTCTCGTACATTCACATGAATACTCGTTTTCGAGTAATTGAATGCTCATTTTCGAGTAACAGAGTATCCATTTTAGTTTCAGTTACTCAAAAATAAATATTAATTTTCTAGATAATGAATATTCAATTACTTTTAGATGAGCAGACTTATAATGAATATTATGTTATTTCAGAAATAACAAAACATTGTTCGTAAATGAGTATTACAATTTTAATGAACAAATATGTGAAAATGAACTTTAATAATGCTACGTTGATTCAAAATTAAAATTTTAAAAAAGTTTGCTAGAATGTACCTTGTACATATCCGAACCTATATATTCCCTATTTTGGCAGGTGGAACCTCCATATCTTAGCCGGCTCTATAGAATTTCATTTCTTTCTCGTCCCTCCCAAATCTCTAAAACCCTTGAAACAAAGATAAACGGAGTAACTAGGACTCTGTATACTCCGGTGTTACAAACCTCTGCTCATGGCTGCTCATTTACATGAGAAAATCGTCTGCCATGCTCGCTCTTTCGAGCTCCGTCTTCTACGTTGCAGTCTAGCGTTGGACAACCCACATTCCTCTCCGGATCCGCCGACTGATTCTCTACCTCTATTAACTCACTCTCATCTCTTCCTCGATCAGGTTATTCAGTTGATCGAATCCGGACAGTACATCAAGGCGCTGTCCTCTCAGTCCGTGCTTTCTGCCTTCTCCAACTCTCAATTTCAGCCCCAGTTCACAAATTCCGCTGAGTCCGCTCAGCAATTCTACTCCGAGTTCGTGCCAGAGTGTGTGACTTCATTCTTCAACAGTAATGGGGGCGGACAATCGGATGGCAGAGTGTTAGATAGAATATTTAAGGCTCTTGTTGTTTTGTCTGCTGCGGTTGCATCTCTTCTTGCTTTTGTTCAGTGCAACACTACCGGGTCAGTCACAGTTTCAACTATACTGCGGATAAGAATTCATCTTTTTTAAGAGTTGTTTTTGCTATTAGTTTCTCTGTATTCATTTATTGATTGCGTGCTATGGGTTCAGTCCAGTAGAGAAGTTTCCACAGATGCCTTTAGTTGCACTCATTCCCCATGAAGGAGAGATCAGTGATAGTGGGAGATGGATGGAATGGGAGACATGGGTACAAAAGGAGTTGATTTCAGTAGGTTCGGACTTAAGGGCTAAATATTCTAATACTCAGGTAATAGTTGGCTAACACCTGTTGCTGACTTACTATATGTCTTTCCCGTAGTCATAAAATCTTGTTTGCACAGTTATAGAAAGATTAAAAATAAAAAAGAATGAGTTTTAGAGTCCCATTATCCAATCAATTGTGATACTCAATATCAGAGTGATTTCATCCTGATTCACCATAGTTATTTCTTTTTTGACTCATTGTTGTCAAGTTTTCTGCTATATTAAGCATAAATTGATGATTCAACATGCGCTTTTATTTCCAAGTTGAATCTTTGTTTTGCTGTAGTATATAGTTTTTGCAAAGATCCTGCTTTTGAGGACAAAAGATCTTTTGGCAGAAGGCAACTTGTCTACTGAAGTGAAAAGCATATCGTGGTGGTTTGCTAGGTT